ACCCCCCCCCCCCCTCCACCGCCGGACGCACCCCGACGGCAGTCTCGAAATCCAATTATTTCACGTACCGGTCCGTACCACGATCGACGGCGGCCGTTGATAGTCGACCGCGCTTTTGACATTCACGGTGTCCTTCATAAATGATAATAATATTTCGGCGATCGCCAATCATGCCGGTCGGCCACTGTGCGCGCGCCCGACCGGTTTCGGAGGTTACCGCCAGACGGCGGGCGCATTTCAGTTCGTCGTTTGTCTTTGTCGGGGATTCGCTTATTTTGCGCGACGTTATTGCCGCCGAATACCGTCCCGCTGCAGGTCCGTGTTTTCGTCTCTCGCTCGTAACGCGTATAATATTGCGGTTTCGCAATAACCATCGTTTACCCGCCGGATCGCCACTTCTGCTCGGGCCGCATACGCCACTACGGATCGAGGGAATCGCCGTTTTGTTACTTATTTAGGTAAATATCGTAAACAATTAATAACTATTACGCGTTTTTCTATCGGGTGTAATTTATCGCCGTGAAAATTGTCAACATCGTGTTCACGCCGTTGACCGCTATAAATAGTGGCTGGAACAGCCAACAAGAACCGACGAGCATTAAAAAAAAAAAAAAAATAATAAAAATCCAAATCTAAATAATAAAACGCCTACGTCGACCGACGAATATTTTTTTTTTCATTATTTAACGGGACGCAACGCGCGTGCGTTTAATCACATCCGTCTTGTGCAAACGCACCACACGGAAAATTCGCGTTCAACAGAACCGATTTGGACCCGCCGGTTTCAATGTTTGAGCGAATCGGCCGTTTCGCCCTGCCCCCGGAGTTTTGAACACGAATTTTCACGTCGTTCATTGCCGTGCCGTTTGTCTGCGCGATCCGGGTTTTTCTCGTCCCGCAATGGACTTGCGCGTCATTAATATTTAATAATAGTAATCATTGCTAATGTGTTTTCCGATTATCAAAATAAATCGATACACGTCGGCGTCGTATACATTTCGCCCGACCGTGTCCGATCGCGCACGGCCGCGGCGCGCCCGGCCGTGCAATAATTTTACTATTTCCGATATATCGAAATAATGTTTTTCCCGTTGGCTTTGTCCGCGGTTTATATGCCTGAATAGCGTGCGTTGGAAATATATAGTCGATCGGAATGAACTACTTCTTAAAACTGTAGAAGGGAAAAATATCGTTTTTGTTAATAATTATATTTTACATTAGGCAGGCGTACAATTAAATATTATGTAAAAAAAAAAAAAAAAAAAATACGTTTAAAAATTAACGCAACGTATGAATAAGAGTGAAATATTACCAAACGGTATTCGTATTAAAAATCCTACATTTGTCCTTTTTATTGCAATGAAATATATTTGATTAACGTGTTGTCGTATAAAGTACGACGCCGCCTCTCCCGCTCGTGTAAAATTCTGGCGGAGCGCGCTGTTGAATCGTTAATCTTACGTGTGCACGTTGGTTTATCCGATATTTTAATTTCGAAACGAAATTTAAGCATTTTTTTAAAATTTTCTTAAATCGCACATTTTTAACCGATTCGCTTGAAAATTATTATAACGAAAAAAACCAAGGTACAATTAATATAAAATATAATGTTCTTACATTGAAGGTTGACAATGGTTTAATTCACTCAATATTAAAATTAAAAAAATTTTAAATCACACAGACACACACACACACACGCGCGCGCGCACAAAATATTTAGCAAATTGTTATGTTGTTCGTTTGTAAGACAACAAATGCATGCGTACCGTCCCCTTAATATTGTGTATGCTATTAAGTTTTATTTTAGTACCTAGTTTGTATGTCAACGAGGTAACGAAATTATATTCATTCAAGGAATAGTATATTAAAACATTTTGAAAACTACGGCTATCAAATATGATATTTAATATCATTTATACAAGTACTTATTTTGAAGGCCGTACTTGTGGGGGCTGTTTGGAGATTCAATCTTCCGTTAAGTAACCTTCCGTATAAGTAAAAAGACGAGATTGAAAAAAAAAAAAAACTGATATTGCTGTTGGCTGCTGAAGGCTACTATTGTAGGTAGGAAGTTGAAAGTTACAAGTTTAAAAATTAGAAGAAAAAAAATACAGCTTGTCATTTTTCTATTGGAGCCATATTTCTGGTAGAAAATAAGCAGTAAAAAGCTGTCGTAACGAGGATGGGTGTAGCCACTGTTATAGGTAATTTAATGTATATCTGTAAGTAACGATATTAACCATTGTTAACGAAAAAACGTTTTTGAACGGAGTTCGGTTGATAGTGTTGTTTCGTCTATTTTCCCGTTTTTTCCATTTATTGTGAAAACTTCTTGAAAAAATGATCTTCAAAAAGTACCTCCCCTGTCTGATTTCCATTCAGGAAAAGTGACATCACTGTAAATCGGAGCAAAATTGATGCTGGAAAAGTTGTTTACAGGATTGAAAAAGGCGATAATATATTGTACTAATACCTACATTTCGTACATTTTCCGTCTTTCCTCCATTTTTTCGCATTTATTGGGAAAACTCCTGGGAAAATCAAAAATGATCTGGTTCACAAAATGGCTGGTAGAATAGTTGTTAACAGAAAAAAAAAAAAAAAACAAATATCACTGTAAAACCATGTCGTAAAGCCAATAAATTTATCAGTTTTTTTTTTTTTATTTTTCGTCGTTTACCGGGTTTTATCCGATTATTATGAAAACTACTCGGAAAATCGAAAAATAACTTCGCAATCATTTAAACCCGAAATTCAACAAAAATATACGCATGACGTCTTTTGATTAAACCAATATTTCTGATAATAAACATAGTTTCTACAAATTAAAACCAATAAAATCGATAACGCCGCGCGGCACTGCAAATATTAAATCCCGTAGACGGCTAGTGGGACGGTAGTAGGGTTTCTGGTATTTTTGGAACGTTAATTAAATTGTATTTATCGATTTACTATTTTTGTTATCGCGGACGAGAAAACTATTATACTATTATTGGACTGATTTAATATTTTTGGCTGTGTTCGTAATTATTTAGACAAGGTTTATACGAAAGAAAATTTTTTGAAAAATCCGCCGGAAAATGTGTAAATTTGTATGGTACTTTTGTGTGAAAATCTCGATACTTTTTTTTTTTTTAAAAAATTTCATTCGTATCACCAAAGCAACCCGTAAATCAACAAAATAATTCGATAATTGACGTTCAGTTTTGCTGTCGCGTGTTTTTATAGCAACAGCATGTATTATTGATGACAAATGAAAATAAAGGCGTTTGTATGGAAGACAATTTTTTTAGAAAATCTACCGGAAAAGTTGGAAATTTGAACGGTATTGAAGTTATGGCGTCGTCAATAAAATATCGATTTATTTATATTCACGTAGATATAGATTACCAATCGAGTTATTAATTTTATATTAATATGAATTGTAGGCTAATATACACATAAAGGCATAATAGGAACACCGCGTCTGCGAGCGACGATTACAGTACGGTATACGCGATCTTCCACTGTCGAGCATCCTCGCGACCCCACTCGCCGGTAGGTTGAGTTGGGCTTCAATTCCTTGGAAATCCACCCTCCCTGAAATTCGACGTTGATATAATTTTGGTATGAAAATTATGAAAAAATGTCACAACAGATCACACTTTTGACCAATTTGTTTTCATTCAATACTGACACTATTAAAACTAAAAAGGAATATTGGTAAACAAATAGAAAAAAATTGAAACTGACTAAGTATATTATATAAGGCGAAATTAATTATTTCATTTCAGTACCTATATAAACTATTCAAATATTGAACAACTAATTGTGTGATAAACGTTTTATTTTTTTGAACCTTTGAAAATAAAATATTTTATGGTACTCGATGGTATGGTATTCGGTGTATTTCATTTCATATATTTAAAACGCATCTCGAAAATTTTGTTTATCTACAGTTGTACCTATCCTGTTCAGAATCAAATTTCTTGTAGTACACGTGAAAGTACCTGTTATCAATGTATATTTGATCGCGCAATCAAACCGATACTTATTTAAAAATCATACACATTTTCGCGTTTCCTTGTGGGATTTGTTTTCTATTTAAACAGATATAAGATTTTTTTTTTTTTTTTTTCTAAACCTTTTCTTACGTTATAGATACAATGAGTAAAAATAATGAAATCATGGTTTTTCGTCCAACTTGGGAAGAGTTTCAACACTTCAGTAATTATATCGAACACATGGAATCACAAGGAGCGCATAAATTAGGAATTGCCAAGGTTTGTATTAATATTAACTAGTAAGTCCATTAGTAAAGGTATACCAGTCAGGTACTTAAACAAAATACTTTATTTAACTAAATAAATGTTTAGGTTCCGGTTCTTAATATTTTAAAGGTTCCAATTCCAAAACCGGTTCTTTTAGGTTCGGTTCCAGTCTCTAATTCAAAATCAAAAATTGATCAGAATATATTTTTTTTCATGAGGATTCATAAAAACCTTTTCACTTTTAAAAAAATTTCTGTGGTACTTTTCTATTTTACTAATTTCTAGAATTAGCAAAATTGATACACAAATGCATGAATTTAAGATCTCCTATGGCTTTTCCTATTAGATATTGTATGTATGTATATTTTTTAGGTGGTACCACCAGCTGAATGGAAACCAAGGAAACAGGGTTATTTTGAAGATGATGTAATGAATATGATTATTCCAGCCCCAATTCGCCAAGTAATGAACTATTTCTTAAAATGTTTTCTAATTATACTTGTTTGTTTTGTCGTTTATTAATTAATATACTGTGATCAGAATTTTATGTAATAGACATTTTTTCCTAGAAATATACAAAACGAAGAAAAGTGTTCCATACACAAGTTTTTTGATTTATAAATATCTAAAACAATTTTTATATTTGTAAATTTTGTTTGACTGTCTTTTTGGGGGTAAACTTTTGAAATTAAAATAGGAACCTATATTCAAAAAGAAAATAAGCAAAAAAAAAATACAAATTATTTTAGATGTAAATAAATTGAAAAAAATTTTTATTATACATTTTTCTCTATTTAGCATATTACTGTAATTCCTTGATTACCCTGATTACCCTTTATTTATAGCGTATAAAAGGTCAACAAGGTTTGTATCAAGCAAAGAATATACAAGTGAAACCCATGACCGTAGCGAGTTACAAAACTTTGGCAGAATCTACTCATTACAGGACACCAAATTATGTAGACTATGCTGATCTCGAAAAAAATTACTGGGAAAATATTAAATTAAATTCTCCAATTTATGGTGCTGATGTCAGTGGATCTCTTACAGATAAAGATGTTAATGTATTTATTTAATTTAATTTTCTTTTACATTGCTAAATTTATATTTATAAAAGTTATATTTTCTTAAATCAAGACTTGGAATATTAATAATCTGGGTACAATATTGGATTTTGTGAATAAAGATCATGGTGTCAACATTGAAGGCGTGAATACAGCATATCTTTATTTCGGCATGTGGAAATCAACATTTGCATGGCATGTTGAAGACATGAATTTATACAGTATCAATTATATTCATACAGGATACCCAAAAACTTGGTAAAATACTATAATGAGAAACTGTTACATGCAATGTTATAATTTAATAGTATATATTGTATAACTTTCTTTTAGGTATGCAATATCTCCAAAAGACGGAAATCGGTTCTCTAGATTAGCTAAATCTTTTTACCCATCTGATTTCGAGGAATGTAGAGTATATTTAAATCACAAAGAGGTAATCATATCACCCCATCAGTTAAGAGAGCATGGTATACCATTTGATAAAGTAAGATATCATCATTGACTAATCTAGTTATCAACATTATGAGTATGGCGTATACATTTCTATCAATCTTATGTTTTAATCAATATGCAGTTTGTAAATATGTATTTATTTATTTCAGATTACACAGGAAAGTGGGGAATTTATAATAACTTTTCCATATGGTTTTCATGCAGGATTTAATCATGGGTTTAATATGGCAGAATCTACTAATTTTGCTAGTTCTAGATGGATAGATTATGGATTAAAAGCTGAATATTGTGAATGTCAACCGGATACTGTAAAAATTGATATGGATATATTTGTCAAACATCTTCAACCTAAAAAGTATGAATTAAGGCATAAAAAAAAATAAGCCTAGTTATACTTGTATCAGGATTTTTAATTTGTTTAAATGTATGTATTAATTGTGTCAACTCATAGTGTTGTATATATTGATGTTAATATGTCCATTTAAATTAAATTTATAATCTTCAATTTGGTTGATTACTATTTGAAATGATACATAGTTAAATGATTTTTATACATAAACTTGAAATTGTGAACTATTATTTACTTACTTATTTTTTTTTATTTTAAAAAAAAAACTTCATTTAATATACTGGTACACATTTAAAATTTTGTCACAACAAAAACTACCCTATAGTTACATTTTAGATTCCAAGTGGAACAAGGAATGTATTTGTTTTACAATATTTTTTATTTCTTTTAACAACTTGTCTACCAGCAATTTTGCACCTTTTTACAATGATAGCACTTTTTTTAGAAAAATTGATTGAGATGGTACTTTAGGGAGATCATTTTTGATTTTCCCATGAGTTTGGAAAAACATGAGAAAAATCAGGAAAATGGGTACAATTTTAATAAAGTATATAATGTATTATATTTAATTATTTTACCATATTATGACATATATATATATATATATATATATATATATATATATTGTTGACAAATCAACACTATCAAACTCCGTTCAGAATCGTTTTTCATTAGCAATGATTAATTATTGCATACAGATATACATTAAATTTCCCCCTTACTACCTTTCCAACTTATCACAACAGTATCCCACACACAGTAGTCTGCCTTTTGTTTTAATTGATTATAATTTTGTTTTAAAATTCTGTAGGAAGTTATAGTACTTATTATTACAGAGTTATTAACAATTGTTTTACTGGTTAGTTTGGTTCTTTTGATAATTTTTGAAACATTTATGTCTAAGGACAATCATTTTTATTTTTATTTTATGTAAATGTAAAAATCAACTAATTTTCTTTATACAAAAAAAAAAAAAAAATTGCCAAATTTAATTTTAATAACATTGGAACACATGTGTTATATTTTAAAGTGTATAGTATTTTTTTGAAATGCATATTTCTTAAAATTTCTTGGTTTGAATTACAGGTTGTTTAAATCTATTTATTAAGATAATAAAAAAGTACAGGTAATAGTACTGAAAACTCATTATTATTCTGTTACATTTACCTTGGCAATGAGTTAGTTAAAATTTTAAATTTATTACTTTCAATTATTTTATAAAAACATTAATACAATCAAAATAACAATGTAATTTTAAATTTATCAAGTATTTATTAAGGAACATTTCATATTTTTGTTCTAGTCTCATAATATTTATAAAGTAATTTTTAAATAATTTTATCATTTTTTCATAAATTATTGTAGTGGATAATAATATAAACAATATTAATTTGTATATACTTTTAATCTCGATTTAAATACAGACATTTTTATAAATATACAGGGTTTATTTTTATCATGAACCAGCAATTATCTCAGAGGATTTTAAGTGAATTTGATTTCTGTTTTTTCTAATCATTATGGAATCCTTTAAGCTTTATTTTGAAAACATGTGTATTGGGTTATAAATAGGAAATTAAATATCCTTCCCTAGTCCTCGGGTTTAAATTTTAAAGTGTTATAACTCATAAACAGTAAATTAGATACTAGTGTTGTGTATATCAACATCTTTAGAAAAATATTTTCTATTTAAGGTACATGGAGTTGGGGTAACAAATTAAAAATGGTTTTAAAATAAAGTTTAAACAATTTCATAATAATTAGAAAAAAACAGAAATCATATTGACTTAAAAAACTCCTAAATAATTACTGGTTCATAATAAAAATTCACTGTATTCAAAATATTTTTTCAGTAAAACTTTAACTCATATATTTAGTAAATTATCAAATTGTCTACACAATAATGTAAACCATTTAAATATTGTCACTTTTACATTCTGTAAAGGTTTTTTTTTTTCTAAATAAAGGTCATTGATTAGGTTAAGGTTATATTTTATGACCAAACTAATATAATTGTTAAAAATGTGAAGTTTTACTAGTATAATAGAAAATAATCTGGTTGTAAACAGGTACGTCTTTAATTTCATTATTATCAAGTTATTTTTCTAATTATTTTTTTCATAATTTTAGGAAAATAAATATGTAAATTTCAAAGCCTAAACTAGACATTATTAGTTACAGTTAGAATGAGTAAAGGTGGAACTATTGGGGTATCGTAAAAATGTTAAAGAATAGATTCTAGTAAGCTTCTAAATCGGGAAATATAATTTTAAATGACTACATCGTATAGTATAAGAATTATTTTTAATTATTGAAAATTAATATCTTTTAGTATTCTTTTAGTAGTTCTAACGTTTTCTTAAAAACCGAAAAGGCAGACAATTTAACAGAACCATAAAACTTATATTGCATTTAGCAAATTTTAGTAGTGAAAACAAAATTCAACTTGTAGTTAGTATAGATGTAAATAGAATAAAAATACATGGGGCTTGAGCTCAATGGATTTTAGACCTAATATTAAAGGATAAATTAATTCAAACATCACAGGCTATGATAGGTTATCTTAAACAATTAAAAACAACATAAATAATCAAGTATACTCTTTGACTTTAAATAAAAAATAGAAAATTAACCGATTACATTAATTTTAATTTCAGTGATTTATTTTTTTACAACAGGGAAACTCATAATTTTTTTCCCTGTTAATTTATTCAATTAAAAAAATCTGTGAAAAAACATTTAGTATTCAAATAGTAATTAGAGTTTGTTTGGTTTTTAAAATATTTAAAAATAATGATTTACTCATTGTAATAGTGTCCTGACGAAATTCGAACTTTATTGTTTCATAATTACCAATGTTTGTAGCCTATATTTTTATCAACAGCTTGTTAGTATTCGCAATTTCACATAAAATTTGAACACTTACTAAATAACACGTAACCAAATGTTTTTGTCATCGGTAAAATTTTAAAAATTCCTTAATTTTCGACGGTGTGCGCGTCCTTTGTAACTGTACAGGTATAATATATTTTGTTTTGCTGTTTAGCCTTAAATCCTATGTAATATTTGAAATCGAATACTTCGGGAATATACAAATTCGAAACGGATACTTTAAAATTAATTAGATATTTGAAAACAATATTTATGAAAATGTGCAACGTCAATTATTATTATTATTTTATAAAAATATACCTAGGTATTAATAATGAAACCGCATAATATATTATGCGATCACCTATTTATTTTAATGGTGTTCCTTATCAATTTCGAAATTGCCAACTGAGAACATCGAGTCTCCCCGGAATCCATTGAATCGAAATATTGTTAATATAATAATGTTTAAACACGCAACTGTCCAATGTAATCATTAATATGATACCATTTTATGATATCATTAATATTAATATTATGATACCTAATACCCAGTTTATTTCGAATGTTTAACAATATAGGTATTACGTTATAACAGGGAACGATAAACGGACATCATACGTTTAGACTATAGCATCTTTTCTGAAAGGTAATTTTCTCCCGTTGGTGAATTGGGTAGGTTATTTTTCGATTTGATAACGAGATCTCGAAATAATTGGGAAAAACCAAAAAAGACGAAATTACGATTTTTTTTCAAATCACTGCACAACCTTTATTTTAAAATTATACGGCCTATATTTTCTGCAAAGAATAATGCTTTAATAGAGCAAAAAAGCCGTTTTGATTTTCTTTGTAGTTTTTTTTAATAATTGACCAATACCGAAAAAAAAATGCTTGAGGAATGGGAAACTTTACGAACGTGATTCTTTTAGTATTTTAAATTTTGTTTTTTTAATGTAATTTAATTTAAAATATTCGTAGAGAATTTCAAGATTTAATTTATAGATGAATTGTTAAGACCTAACAAAAATACTTGAAAATTTGATGGGAGGTTTATTATAAGTCGTACTTAGTGGTAAAAAAAAAAAAATTATATTAATGTATTGTTATTTTAGATTTCGAGCGTAGTGAGTCTGTGAACACGTTTTTCCTAGTAAATTGGCTCTAATTTTCTTACGTGTAGCAACTTTTCTGAAAGCTCAAGTTGTCTAGATGGTACTTTAAACTGGTCATTTTTTGATTTTTGACGCCATTATTTAAATAAAAGCATTTAAGTGGGAAAAAACGTACAATTTCACGATTTCATTATTTTGTAAAAACACGGACGTTTTCTACCAGAAAAAATGATTTAATCGAAAAATCATAAGACACTTTTTTTGTTTCCTTTTTAGTTTACTTTCTTACGGTATCATCGTCAAAACTTTTGAGCTTTTAAGGAATTTTAAATGTTGGGAGTTTTTTGCTGTAATTCGGTTATAAATACACGAAGAGACTTGAAACTTGGTAAAAATACTTATATTGGACTTACCTAGACGTGGTAAAATTTCGGATGATAAAATCATCGGACGATTTTTTTTTTTTAAATAAGAGTTAAAATCAAATTTAAACGAAAATCGCAAAAAAATTACGGCATTTCAAAGTATGTATTATCAAATTGCGTTCAGAATCGTTTTTCGTCAAATAATGGTTTATTGTTGCTTACAGATATTAATTAAATAACCTTATATATCCTACTTTACTAACTTCTCACCTACAACAATGGCTGCTCCTATCTCCAATATCAGCTCTTTTTTATAAGGGTTAAACAAAATTTTGGACAAATTCATAAATATTACAGCCTTTCAATACATGTATAATTTCACTTGAACTTTACTTCGAATCGTTTTTCATCATCAGTAGTTTATCATTGGTCACGGATATAAATTAAATAACTATGTATTCCTCCTTCCCCAATACCCATCTACAATAGAGGGCACACCCGTCCTTAGTATCAGCTCTGTTTTTATCTGTGATTTTACAAACGCTAACTAACAGCAACCATAAAGATGTGAAATTCATGAAAGTAATACACTTATAATTTACCTATCACTGTCAACTTGACAGTAAGTCAATTATAGCCAGGAATGGAATATTAATTATTAACCATCATATTACCCCCTAAATCATACTTCGAGTGTAGCAGTTGCTACACATCATATTTTGGGTGGGTGGGTATTTTCTGTAATTAGGATTTGAGGATAGTCTGATAGAATGGGTAGAAATATTCAAAAGTTATACTTTTAGTTTTTAGGTAGTAAAATTTAGATACAAACGTTTTTGAATTGGGTGATGGTTTTGATTATCAAATTCTGCTGCATTATAAAAATATAGTTTAGGTGCTACTGTATTACCTTTGCATATTAGCTCTAAAATTTCTAAAATACGACATTAAAAAGAAAGCCGTAATTTCAAAACAATTTGTAATAAATACCGAGTAACATATTTTGATTTAATAACTTAATGTAGGGGGAATAACTCCGGAGTAAATGGTTTTAATTGTCTATTTAGTGTTAAAAAGCTGTCCTAGAATAATGGAGATGGGTGTAGCCACTGTTGTAGGTGAGAAGTTGAGAAGTTAGGATATAGACGGGAATTTAATATATATCTGTAAACAATGATTAACCATTGCTAACGAAAAAACAATTCTAAGTGAAGTTTGGTTGATAGTGTAACTTTGCCAACAATATGTATATCATATTTTGGTAAAATAATTACATATATGCATTAAACATTTTTTTTTTAAATAATATTTGTTTAATGTTGTACTTATTCTCCTGTTATCCCGGTTTTCATTTGTTTTTTTCCCATTTAATGGGAAAATCGAAAAATGACCTTAGAGCATCACTCCAGTCAGATTTATTTTCAGAATAAGTGCTTTCATTGTAAATCGGAGCAAAATTAATGGTAGAAAAGTTGTCTACAAAAAAAAAATTTTAAAACCAATACATTTCTTGCTTCACTCGAAATCTAAAATATCAATAAAAAGTAATTTCTTTACATATTACGTATTCTAGGAATACGAATTATATAAAAAAAATACATTTCCTTTTACAGCTTTTAATAAGCATTCAATTTCTTGATTTTTTTTATTAATATATAAATAACCCGAGTGAGACGAGGCAGAGTATACTTTTCAGTATTACAATAAATGCCTGTCGGTTAATTTTTTCTGTTTTTTGGGATTAAAAAAAAACTTACTTGTCAACCTCGAATTAATTTATTATTATTTGGCATATTAAGACATAATCTTAAAAAAGAAAAATATTTTTCACGTTATCAGGGCGTAGGTATAAGATAAATTGTGTTTTTGTTTTAGATACAAGAAATATCACAACAGGAAAATAACTATGATCCAGCTGGCAGAGGCGGCCGTGCACGCAAAATGGGGATGTACGTTGATCTGAACTGGAAATCGTTGCAATATCTATTTTTAATTTTTATAATATACCTATCTCAGAAAATTATCATATTATACATAAAACTATAAGCTTACGCAGTACATGGGTACTTTATGGGGGTACAAGCACCTTATGAAGTTGTGACTAAAAGTAGGTATAGGGTTTTTAATTTTTAAGCGTTCCTACATGTATTCCAGTGACTGTAAAGAAAGCATATAACCAATGAAATCGTGTTACTACCTGTATCATATAACTATTTATAATTATAACTTATTATACTCGTATATAAAATATAGAAGAAGATATTTTATATTTTAAAATATCATTTTTTTAAATAAATATTTTAAATTATATTTAATTTAATTTATTAATAAGTAATATTATATTTAAGATTTTTCATATTTTTTGTCATTATAAACCTTTATACAAAATAAATATAATTTGTATGTAAACAAAAATTTGATTCTGATTAATTCATACTATTATACGTACCTAGTACACAATTTTTATGGACACAGTAGTGCACTACATTGGTCTCCTAATGGATATTTAATAGAAATCCTAACAGGTTAATAGTATAAAGGTACTTGGACGATTATTTTGTTCTCAAGTGTATATGTGCTAGGTTGGTATTTATGTATATAAGATCGTTTTGGACAAGTTAAGAATAATAGTTACCTATAATTGTTAATTCTTGATACAGTAATTCTTTAATCGCTAATAAGTGATTATCCATGAAGAATTTACAGTAGAACCGGTGTTTCGGTTCTTAACATAAGCCTTTGCGTCCGTTTTGGTTGCCAAATTGTATTTATTAAGGCGTAGAAAAAAATAATAATAAAGAAATTCGTCATTCGGTGAAACCGACACAAGGGTATTACCCTTAATGTGATATTAGAAACAATGAAAGAGAAATAATTAATACAAACAATATCTTAATATTTATTAGTAAATAACAACTAAACAAATTTATTACCATTAATTCGATTAATAAACACATTTTAACAAAATGATTTAACAAAGTTAGTATAGCTGATATTAAATGAGTAACACACTTTTAATTGTGTTCAGTGTAATTACTCGTGTTTATTATTATAACTGATATATTTATATAATAAATAAATTACACATGTAAACAGTGCTATATTCAGTTATTGAAACTGCTTTTTTTAATTGTTATATATATAATTGGGTAAAAAAAAAAAGTTACCCTAGTCCGGTACTTTTTAAAAATGCATTTTGTATACAATTTTATTAGCGTAGTACTTACTTACCTAAATTTGGTTTTTTCACAGTATATAGTACTTGGGGTACTAATACCTACGTAGAATGGCTTAATTTACATACTATTTTCAAAATTATACTCTTATAAACAATAAATATAGCTACGAGAATATTGACTCGGTGACGTGCCCGGAAATTTTCATAAGGCTGAATTAATAAATTAGTAAATAATATAATATCCATGAATAAATTAGAGAAGCTTCATCGATACTTGCCTACCTACTTTAATAATGCGATTAAAAGCTAATATTTTATTCAATAAATCAAGTGTTTTCTTGGTCGAAATATATTGTACATTTCAATATTAAACTATGAGTATTTTAAAGTCAATGGAAGGAAGTATAAATCACAACGTTCCCTTGAGCACGTCACTGAATTTACTAAACATTTTTAAATAACAATCCACGGTTTTATAAACCCGAAAAGATAATATTTTTTAACAAAACTCTATAAAATGTATAAAATTAAAATTGGAAATATCGTTTATGGGTCATTATAATTAAAACATTTATAAACCCGAAAATTTAAAGTGAAAAATCTGCAATTATAAAGATCAAAATCAGAAATATAGGTACCTACCTAAGTGACTAGGTACCTATTCATATGTTTTGGTTGGTTCCTAAAAAAATAAGAATCACTCTGTATTCTGCGCACTCATACTATGTTTCATCAAGTACATCTTAAAAATATATATCATTATATCGATCAGAAGTTAACTCGAAATTCGTCTAATTTGAGACATAGTATCATCTATATGCTTACGTTTAAGTGATTTCATTGTAAAATCGACTCCGTATCTGGTGAAAAAAGAAATAACGCAACAATAATATTATTTTGATGAAAAAAAAGATAAAGCAGATTTTGGTTCGATTTGCTATCAGTGTAAACAAATCTGCTGGAAGACTATTGTATCATTCTGCCTACCCATGCATAACTACTTAATGATTTGTTAACTGTTATATTTAAAAAGGCTAAAAAAACAAACATAGCAATATATTATTAATTTATCTATAAAATATTAAATAGGTAATTTGTAAAATAAATGCATTAGGTACTTAGTTCTTGATCTCGAGGAGTTGTTTAACGCATATGGGTTACTTAGGTTGGTACTTATGCTAAATGGGTACCTACTCTAGTTTGTATAGGTTTATTATTATTAGATATCTATTTATTTGATAATAATCTTCACTTATTTTGTTCTGATTTTCAAATGTGTATTATTATTATGCTTACCTAAGTAAAATTAGATACTATTTTATTAAATGTTTAATACTTACCTGGCTACCTACCTACAACCTAGGTACCTACTACAGTTTTTAGTAAAGTATCGTTTATCTGTAATATAGGTATTATACCTACAATAAACTATTCAATATCCATAATATATTTATAGGTATTACTTAATTAAACATATATTCAAATAGATAGGTTGGAAACTTTGGAATTAGGTATCAATTCCGCCCCCTATAATTGACCATGGGCAATTGCCCATTTCAACTTGAATTTTGGGAGTATGACCAGTATCTTAATCAATAACAATGTCGATTGTCGATTTGTATTGTTTTTTTTTTTTATATAATTATAAATATAGTTTGTTTTTATTAATTTCATGAAAATAATTTTAATAAATATATACTTATTTATAATTAACGAATTTCTATAAAATTAACAAAGTATAACTTAAAGGAAATAAATACATTTAAGATATACAAGTAGCCTTCGTGGCGCAATGGTTAGCGCGTTCGGCTGTTAACCGAAAGGTTGGTGGTTCAAGTCCACCCGGGGGCGAATAACTTTTTGCAATTTTTCACAGTTAATATAAATTTAATAATTTCTGATGATTGGACAGAACTGATAAATGGTGTAAAACGATGTCAGGTGGTTTATTTTTTTAAGTTTTTAATCAATAAAACAAGGATAATATTTCAATGTTATACTAAACATTTTTTTTTTTTGTTTATATATTATATTATCGTTTTTTTATTATAAAACGTTTTAAAGTAAAAATTTAATATTTTGTATTTTGAGCGGTACACCCTTTCACCGGTCTGGATTTTGTACTTAGAAATTAGGTGTCTATTACTTTGTTGCTTGTTCCAAGTTACAAACCCCTGAGAAACAAAACCCAGACCAGGGAAAAGCAGCCATCGAAATCAGCGTTAAATAGAGAATGCGGCCTTATAATTTCCATCGTTACAAAATTATAAAAATAAATAAAATTAACAATTATGATTTTGCACACCTTAACAAGATTTTCACTGTAGTTCACCGATTCAATCTGGTCTTACTATGAATGCTCGGAATTTGGGGTTTTAAATTACATTTAACCAGTGGTGTAGTCAGGATTTTGAAATTGGAGGGGTGATTAATACATTTTTTTTACCCTAGTCATAGATTTAGGTAAGATGAATTAGTAGGGTTCGACAAAGCCGTCTTTAGGGGGGAGATTGGGCAGAGCCAAGGCCTTGGGCTTCGTGCATTATACTTAGATTCGGAGCCTCGCGTTTGAACACAAATAAAAATTATAATGAAATATGTAAATAATTAAACTTTCACCCTAGGCTTCAAAAATCTTAAGGACTTCTACCCTCCTTCCAGAAAAAAAAAAAATTAGAAAAATGTTTTTATAAATATACGTTTCAATGAAATATTTAAAAACAAAATATGTATAGGGTAATTCACTAAACGTGCTCACGCCATTTTTCGGTTATATTTTGCATGTATTCGAATTTTGTTTTTGTGGAATTTTTAAGTGTAGTTAAAGTCGATATTTTCGAATAATTAGATTTCTGATAGCTTCAAATGTAGTTAACATTGAAATCGTAAGCAGTTAACGTACGACTACGTAGCCCTCTTAGTCATCTGGTTACACCCCTACATTTAACAATAATAAGAGTATAATAAACCAAAATGTTTTAAAATATTCTTTAGTTTTATCATAACATTAAGTTTTAGTATAATTCGTCTTAATTATTATTGATTTAAGCAAAATGCTCAATAAACTAAATTTAACAGTTTATTAACCGCTGGATTTTATGAGTTTTAATGGATCTCATTTCGAAAAATATATTACCTCGAAACGTTACAATATACGGCTTGCGTTTAAATTACCTAAGCATTATCCAACGGTACGGCGGTATTAACTATTACTGATCATAAGATATTGAACAAAATCACTAATTCGTTATATTACAGCAGATGAACCGTCTTTATACAACAATGCTTTATACTATTATTATTATGAACTACCTATACTATTATTCATCTTTGATATAGGTATTCGGCATTTCGGCATGCAGCTGTCAAAACGCCTGCAGCAGCTGAGCTCTGTGCATGTGATCTTGCAAAAAATTTAGATTAGTTTGGTTTTATTTTGTTTCACGACCCACCGCGCTCATATACTTAACACTTACTGGCATATTATTCATAAACGAAAAATATAATAATAAAAAAAAAAAAAAAAACAACATCAACATGAATAATAATAACAAATAACAATACAAGTGCACGAGGAAACGCTGCGTGAGTTGATCGACCGGCCAAGGTCGACATGTATGACAATTTATTATTTACAATACCTATAGATGAATATTACCGTGACTGCATACTGCACTCAGTTGCATCCGAATTTTCGGTTACTTTTACTAATATATTAATAATAATGTTGTGTCAATAATAATATATGTCTGAGTAACACGTGTGCGTTACTTATCGTACCCGTATATTTTATAGTTTCCGATAGCGAATAAAACAGTGAAGTGCACTTCCGCCAGTGTGTTTTCTGCTCAACACCATGTTTGTGCTATTTCCACCCAATATCGTCATTTTTATCCTCTAAGATTATATAAGGGACTATTCGTTCAAAATTTAAAATTATTTATAAATTGTATACAATTGTCAAATTATTATACTTTTGATTCTGATTTTTGAACAAATGATAAATGATAGGTATAGTTA